CAGAAAAAACAAAAATTTACCTACAAGGGGCAACCAATAAAACTAAGCTCTGATTTCTCAGCAGAAACCACGCAGGTGAGAAGACAATGGGATGGTATATATAAAACTCTGAAAGAGAATAATTTCCAACCAAGAATTATATACGCAGCAAAATTGTCCCTCAAATATGATGGTGAAATTAGGAAATTTCCAGATAAGCAGAAATTAAGGGAATTTGTTAAAACCAGACCAACCTTACAAGAGATGCTAAAGAGAGTCCTTTGGACATAGAACCAACAAACTGGCCATTAACAACAACTGACCATTAACACACATGATGGCATAACCCAAAAACCAAGACAGTTATAGAAGTATCCAAAGTAAATAAGCCTACAAGATTGTAAACAGGGAACATTTTACAGAGCAAATTCATTTTCCATACAGCAGTTCATACATATTTTGTTTCATGACATTGACTGCAATTCCCCACAATGTAATAGCTCTCTTCCCACTTCTTCCTCGTAGTTACCTCTTCCCTATGTTCTTCCCTCCCATGCAGTTCCACTCCTGAGCTATCTCCCTGTGCAACCAATGTCTTTCTGTTCTCCCACGACTGATCTAAGGATTGATACCCAAGGAGTGTATCTATCTGATGTAAATTTTTACCCAATAATCCTGTCTTTTGTTTGGCTGGAAGTTGTAGGAGTGAGTTCAGTTCCAGCCATGAAGGATAACTAGGGGTCATAGTCTCAGGGCTCTCATCAGGCTCTATCAGACCAGAAAATCTGGTCTTTTTTTTTTTTTTTTTATGATTTTGAGTTTTGTTCCACATTGTTCTCCCACTCTCCAGAATCTCTTGTACCAATCCTTCTCTGAGTGGTTGACTGTGGTAGCCAGGCACGATCTAGTTCTTCTGGTCTCATGGTCATATAGGCTGAGGATCACATGGTCTGTAAGTCCCTTGGAATAATTGTTTCCAGAGCATTACACTCTTTTAAGAACTATCTATATGGGATCAAATTAACAATGGCAACTCAAAAAATAAGATGGGAACTTTAGAGGGCAGTGAATTTATGTTAATGTGGAAGAACAATTCAGAAAAGGAAAATGAGAATGGCTGCACAACTAGAAGAACAGAATCAATGTCACTGAACTGTATATATCAGAACTGTTGACTTGGAGTATGTTTTTCTTTGTATATTCAATAGCAAAATAATAATTTTAAAAAATTGAGAACCAACAGACTTGGCAGATAATGTTTCTACAAGTGTATTTGTATGTTCTGTAAGAATTCCCAGGTATATTGTAGAGC